GTGTAGACAAATTTAAAAGTTGTTATATTAATAATATTATATATTATTATTAACAATATATTATATTAATATTAATATTAATTGTAAAAAAAGGATGATCATAAAAATTATGTATAAAATATATATATTAATATATATCAATGAATTACTAAATGAACCAAAACAAGTACCATATCGTTGAGATATAAATAAACAAATCATCTGACTTTATTATAAATTAAAAACAATATTGTACAAGGCATTAGAGAAATTACAGCTAGCAATTAATAAATAAAAATAATAATTTAATGGTAAATAAGCGTAGTACATAAACTGAACTTGATACAAAGAATTAACAACTAAAAACCAGATAGGAAGAAGGTAATTCGAAATGAGTGATCAGGAAAGAAAAAGAAACTCTATGTGGTTAATGATAATGGATTATCCGAGGTTGAAAATGTATTATATCAGTTTGAATGACAACGTTTCGAACCAATTCATTTCTTTGATTCAGTATAATATTTTGATTGTCAATTTTTTTCTTCTAGTCATAAATTACATCTACCTTTAAAGTTACTAGGAGTTTGAGAAAAACCTATGAATTCCCAGTCAGTTCGAGGGTTCAGGTTTTTCTCTTTCAGTTTCCAAAACCTTTTGGAGAGAGCAGTTTGGTGTTTCAGTCTCGGGTTGGAAAATGTGTGTATGGTTATAAAGTCTTTGTTTCCATTCCCACGCAAAAATACCAATATAAACATGGTGATTTGATGCATTTTCTTTGGGGTAAATGGTAGCTTAATAAAGGACATTAGATGTTCTACACTTTCCCTCGACTGGACAAAGATTCCTATTTCTACAATACAAAAATTTTTGTCGACACCATTGAATTTGTTAGGAATATATGGGAGCCAATTATTTTAAGCGTGTTGTTTGTACATGAATAAAATATCTTAATAGTTTTTCTATTAAAGATCTTACTTAAAGGGTTGTTATTCCAGATGTGTTTATTTATAAGTTTCAAGAAAACTTCTGCAGTATTAATTCTGGATAATATAACATTTTTAAAAAAATTGTCTACCTCATTTAATAAATTTTTTTAAATAAGGTTTTCTTAGAAAGATAGTTTTAAATTTAAATTTTATTTTTAACTTCTTTTTAATTACTACTTTAATTACTATTAACCGTTTCTAAAATTAAATTGATGTCTTTACTAATATTGTAATTTCCCTCCTTAAAGAGCACTTTAAATATTAAATTTTAAGGGCCTCTTTAAATTTTAAATTTTATCTAAGTCATAATCAATATCATCTATATTTTTATTACCTGATTTTATACATTCATATTGTACTAATTTGGTTCTGTTTATGTATTTAGTTTCTTGTTATTCTGTGGACCAGTTTTAACATGGATTACTTAGCACAGATTTTTACACACACACACACACACACACACACATATATATATATATATATATATATATATATATATATATATATATATATATATATATATATATATTAGTAGGCATACTCATCGTATCCTACCTGGCCAGAATCCTGGAGAGAAAGGACACAGGATTATTCAGAGATGACGGTCTTATCTTAATAAGGGAACCCAATGGCCCCAAAATAGACAAATTCAGGAAGAAAATAGTGAACGCCCTAAAAGATATTGCATTCAAAATAGAGATAAATACAGGTACAACAATAGTAAACTTCCTTGACGTCACTCTTCACCTGATCAACAACACATATGAACCATACAAAAAGAAAATGACACCCCAACTCACGTACACACATCCTCCAACCATCCACCTTCTATCATCAAACAAATACCAAAATCAATCAGCCGCAAACTATCTGAGAACTCATCTAACATACACATTTTCAATAGCAAAAAAGCACCATACAACGAAGCATTAAAAGCAAGTGGTTACACACAACAACTACAATATATACCTCCACAGCCAAAACGTACAAACAGAAAGAGAAACATTATCTGGTTTAATCCACCATATAACAAAACCCTTAAAACCAACATAGGCAAGATATTCCTAAACTTAATAGAAAAAAAATTCACTGAAGCAAACAAATTTATCAAAAATATTTAGCAAAAATAACGTAAAAATCAGTTACAGCTGTACAAAAAACATAACAGAAATAATCAAAAGCCACAACAACAGAAAGGACAACCTACAAAAATGAAACCAATGATCCAATATGCAACTGCAGAAACAGAACAACATGTCCACTCCAACGAACACAATATACAAGGTCAAGGTAAGTGCAAACAACAACATAATGCACCACATCGGTGCCACCGAAGGTCCATTCAAGATGAGGAATAACAATCACAACCTTTCATTCAACAACAGCAAATATTCGAACAGCACAACACTTTCTACATACATAAGGCAGCAAAAAGACAAAAATATCACACCAACAATAAGTTGGGAAATATTGAAAAAAGCCCCTGCCTACAACAACATTACAAAAAAATGCCTACTTTGCCTACACGAAAAAGTAGCAATAATATCACACAAACCGCAAAAGAACTTACTAAACAAAAAATCAGAGATAATCTCCAAATGTAGGCATGAGAACAAGTACCTATTATCCGAATTCATACCAAACGGATAAAATAGACAAACCACCAACAATCACAATTTAATTTCAAGATACCATCACAATAATTGCATCTGTCGTTATTATCATTGCACCACCATTAGTAATCACTTTTACAATAACTATTAACTAATAATATTATCATTACCACCAACACCCAGCACCATCACTTACACATCACACCTACTATTAACATAAATCTACTACAATCATTAACGTATATTACTCCCCCAACATATTTAATACCTTAAAACAATAAGATCAGATATAATTTCCATATGTAACCATGAGAATAAACACCTATTACCAGGATTCATAATAAATCAAAATAAACAAATAAATAAAGAAAATAAAATAAAATAAAACACCAACAACCACTCTTTAGTTCAAGCCAGCACCACAATAATTACATTTATAGGTTTTTATTATTCTCCCACCAACATTACTAATCACTACTAACAATTTACAATAAATATTAACCACTTATATTATTATTGCCACCAACCCCCTTACACATTACTATCACACCACATCTACCATTACCATATAATCCTACCATAATTGTTAACGTAAACTACCCCCTCTCCCAGCATATTTAATACCACCATAAAAATAACCAATAAGGATTACAAACTGAAATTTCTAACAGTCACATATACACAGTCATAAAAAACAAGGAAATAACCAGCTTTAATATAATAACAATAATATTTTTGTAAATTAAAAATTAAAAATTAAAAATTATAGCAATCTTCAACTACCATAATTTTACACAGAATACCTATTATCAGGATTTATACCAAAATAAATTAATACATATAACAAAATAAAATAAAACACCAACAACCACTTTTTAGTTCAAGCTACCACCACTATAACTACATTTATGGTTTTATCATTCCCCCACCACCGTTAGTAATCATTTCTACCAATTTACAATAACTATTAGCTAATTATATTATCATTGTCTCCAATCCCTTGCAACATTACTATCACATCATATCATATAGACCCGCTATAATTATTAAATTAAACTACCCTCTCACCCAGCATATTAAATATTAAACATCACCATATAAAATAATCAATAAGGATTACAAATTTCTACCTGTTACATATACACAGTCATCAAAAACAAACAAATAACCAGCTTTAAATATAACAAATAACCCCCCCACTTTATTTTCAAAAATTTAAAAATAAATATAAATAATAATAATTTTTACCTATCATAATTTTACACAAACCCCACCACACGTATATACATACATGCGAAGAAATTTATTCACTGGAAAAATAAAAATATGACATGTATACATTCACGAGACATTCACGAGAAATCTTCGCTACACTCCCAATCTTTGAATTTCAACATACAAATGCGTATGTATAGACACAACACCACCCGTATACATACATATGTCATATCCGAATATGTATGAGTCTCGACGGACGACCAAGTATGTATATGTGTCTGCATACATCGATGTTTGCGTTAGTACGATGACAAAACGACGATGTTTCCCCCACCACTTCCACAATAACACCAATACACGCAATCTACATAAATCCAAAATTTTAAAAAATTAATCAGTTTGTCTGACGATCGCTAAAGCGTGAAACCTAGGGTCACAAACTCACATCTATCCAACCATATATATACATATATATATATATATATATATATATATATATATATATATATATATATATACACTGAAAATCAATACCATGCAATGTTCTAGCAAGAAACAAACTGTCCCCATTTGGTATTTTTTTTTTTAGGGACTGTCGCTATGGTAACGGAGCTAAAGTACTTCTTGGCACAAAATGATTTGATCTTTGTCGCGCATGCACACTTAGTTATAGCGTTCTCGCTCACTTACGTTCTTTATAATAATGCTTGGAAGGAAAGAGTGTAGAGTGTGGTCGTCTCACGACACCACAGAGATTCCTTCACTGACCATGATTTGTGCAGCAGTTTTTGGTCAAGCCCAACATTCTCCAGCCCTGACGACCACCATATTGCCCAGATTTCGCCCGTTCTGACTTTCTCTATCTTACTAGAAATCAAATCCCACCTGAAAGGAACAAGACTTCAAAACATTTCAGGAATGCATCAACGATACTGGTTGAACAGTTTGTCTTCAGTAGGAGATTACTTCGAATGGGATTAAATAGCGAATTGATATGTGTTGTTGTTTTCTTTATGTAGCAATAGTCCCGATACATTTTGTTCAGACCTCGTGTGTGAATATATATATATATATATATATATATATATATATATATATATATATATATATAGGGCGGCTAACCGATCCCTATTGCATATATATATATATATATATATATATATATATATATATATATATATATAGATAGATAGATAGATAATGTTCAGACTGAGATAAATCGATAGAAAAATTGATAGATATGAACAGAGATAGATACATCGATATGAACAGACTGAGATAGATAGATAGATAGATAGATAGATAGATAGATAGATAGATAGATAGAAAGAAAGAAACGATACTATTCAAATCAGTATTATATGACAAAGTATATTTGTTCATTTCCGGCACACGAGAAAGGGATATCCATAAGAAATAGTCAACAATATGAAGACGATGAACATTTCGTGGGAGTTAAAGAGAGTAAATCTTCCTATTCCAAAACGAAAGCTGTTATTTACGGCCATTATCCTTTGATTCATATCATGTTCAGCCTATCAGGGCAACTGATAGTTCCTTCTCACATTACTGTAAAGAAGAATCGACCGCTGTCACGATATGTTTATGCACACGTCTGATCAGCAATTTGTGCCTTAATGTAACTCACAAAATGGCGCGAGAATCGCCAATCAACCATTTTTAACGCTCTTTGTAATAGCTTCTCAAAAGTTCAAAACTTAACAAAAATTCCAACAAAGCAGACGACTTGAAATGGCGACGGAAATTTTTTTACTCGTTCAAAAAAGGAAAGTCGGTTAGCTGACTGGTTAAAAAGAGGTTGTGATGGAGACTGCTATATCACTTTGTTTAGTAATGAATACGGCAACAGAAAGGTCTATTACAGTCACAAAATTGTCTTCGCGGTCTTGTGAGATAAAAACTATTCTCCACTTTGCATCTATTTCTCTCTCTCTCTCTCTCTCTCTCTCTCTCTATATATATATATATATATATATATATGTTTGGAAAGTAAGACTTATTTTCCACTTTCCTCGCAAAGGCCACGTTGCAATGTCATCGCTACCCTATCGCTATTTCCATAGCAACAGCGCAAATAAACTTCATTCTTCAGTAACGCCAGTTCAGACCTTTACATCCTGGAAACGCCATGCTAATTCCTCAGAGTTGAAACCTCCTCATTTCCTTCCTGTTACAAAGGTAAGAAGAAAGCTTTTTTTTGTCCAAGAGCAGCCAAATTTTCTTTTTTTTCCTAACCTTTTTACGAAGTCCTGCTACATTTTGGAATAGATTCACAAGTGGGTACCTTCTTGATATTTATATTCTTAATCTCAATTATATCAAGAGGCAATCCTTATCTATTTACCTCATAATCTTCACTACAGACCATCTTCCCGAACATCCCTGCGTTCGGTGGCTCTCGAGCCTTTTTTTAAATTCGACGCTTCATTTTTGAATCATTGTTAGCAGTTTGCTTTCAAGGTTACAGTCGATGATCGAGACCAGTTAAAAGGACCAAACTCCAATTTTCAATGAAAGCCGTCTAGGCAGTTCCCATTTGAAAGATTGCCCCAGTAGCCTCCGTATCAGATTGGATATTCGTGTACTTGTAAGATGTTAAACATGTTCATCGTATATGAATCGGGATCAAAATCTCTTTCACTCTTTATCAGTCTCTGTACCCTACCGTCATGTGCAGGTGCTCACTATGTTGCATTTTGGAATGCAAATCAATAAAGTTCACATCTATTCTCAGCGGACGTCATAGGAATAACGCAAATTCTCAGACGAATCATTACCTATATGATTAGTTTAATATAATTTACCTACTCTGCAATAGGTTTTACTCAGGCAAAGCCATGGAATCCAAAATAACCGAATGATCTATCGACGTCAATTCATCTTATTATCTATCTACAGATCCATCGATCTCATTTTTTCCTTATCTAAGAATAAAAATAATGGTAATGGTAATGTCATCCGTTTCCTTATGAGGAAATATTTGGCTTTCATTGACAGTAAAAATTCGGGTTTCTTTATAAGGAAACAGCTAGCATTACCATTATCAATACCATCTCTTAGATAAGGTAAATTAGTTACTTACATTATTTACATTGTTGTCATCGTCTTTATTGTCATATTCACGACGTTTCGGCCGTTGTAAGCTCCGGCCTTCTTCAGGTGATTTTAATTTCAAACTGAACTCTTTATTTCGTCCTCAAGAACATATGACCCAGTGGATAAAAGCATTGGTTGGAATCAGTGACTTGACCGAATGGAATCTTCACTACTGACCATCTCCTCCAACACACCTCATTCAGTAACCAGTGGAGAACAACAACTTTGAGAGTTGAGTCCGAGGGAGATAACTGAGACATCTGGAAGAGACATGGCACGTGGAACTAGAATTATCTACTCCGGTGGACGAACTGAAGGGTTCAATTTGAAATTACAATCACCCGTAGAAGGCCGGAAAGTACAACGGCCGAAACATCGTGAATATGAAAACAATTATGTGGAACAATTTAAATAATGTAAATAATTACACTATCTCATCTTGGAATTATAGACATATATTGAAGGAATAAAAGGTTAGGAAGGAAACCTCCATTAATAATGGAAATAGCAGGAACAGTTATTCTACTTGAGAAATCTATTTTCTTAAAAATAAATTATTAAGAAAAATGTTTTATAAATTCCAACCGAAAGTTGCCTATATAAGAAAATCGAATTTCGTTTGAAATTTATAAGAAAACTGTTCTCTTTTACCGAGAAAATAGGTTTCTTAAGACCAGTAACTGTTATTGCTCTTTCCAGAATTAATGGGGTTTTCCCGTCTTAGCACACTTCCGCACTAATACGCATTGGAGATGTATGGATCCATATCAGCTTCCCGCCAGTTATGGGTTAGGAATTGCAAAGTTACACGTACCTTTAAAATTGATGATTATGTCAAATCATAAATATGGAGATTATTTCTTACAAATATTCTTGAACAATATACTTTTGAAAGGTACACATCAAAACCAAAAGGCTTTAAGCTCAAGAGTATGTTCATCTAAGACAATAGAAATTTGCATTCCGCAAAGAACACAAATGTCGATTTTATGAAAAATAGTTTCAAAGAAATCAACTTAATTGTATGATCCTCAGCCTCACTTGTGTGAGAGAAATAGTAAATTGTGTCCTGTCCTTTAAATCGATATATATATGTGTGGAGAATGCTAAATAAATCGGCTAAATGAAAACATTTTACTTGTAATTACATATATATATATATATATATATATATATATATATATATATATATATATATATATATATATACCAAGATTGATTGGTACACGGAATAAATTCCAATAACCAACAACTACTATTCTTAAAAGAGTGTCCAATACAGAGTAGTGCTGATATAATTATTTATTTAAAAATTATAACATAAATATGTTACAAAATCACTACAAAAGTAGCCATTTTGTTTTAACACCTCCGGTGTCTTAGTGATTTTATAACATATTTATGTTATAATTTTTGAATAAATAATTATATCTATCTATCTATCTATCTATCTATCTATCTATCTATCTATCTATCTATCTATTATGGTCCAGGTTAGGACCAAGGAAGAACAACACGAATACAAGAGTAGAAATAACGAAGGTATATTACACGAAATAATAATACAAGATGTAGAAGATGTCAGTATGACTGTCTGGTTTGGAATGAACTACTATCGGCTTGACTCGTTTCATCCCTGGCTCTTGAGAGGCGTAGTGTACATAGTGTTAAGAAGAGTTCATTCTGTAGTTATAGGTAAGGACCCATGACACTATCTATCTATCTATCTATCTATCTATCTGATGCGATAGCTAAGATGAGGCATTTTCTTTTAATTTCGGGCATGCACATTATTTGTTTGGGATTTTGTCGACTGCACAGTGTAGTAGGGTCAAGTGGGCACCGTCTGCGAGAAAAGGACCACCAGAATGCAAGTGACCCCACCAGAAATTTGGAAAGAGCATGCTGTACTGCTTGGCATTCGCACCGGAAGCTCCAATACGTACATTTCAGAGTGTTTGGGTGTCAATCTGAGGACAGTGCGGAAGATTCGGGAAGAGCTGAATGAGTCTAATGAGGATTACGAAGTTTCTTTGGAATGATCACTAATGATGGTAGCGTTATGCATTCATTCATCATCTCACAGGGATTCAGACTCAACACCGACTTTGAGCAGGTAATACTGCCCTGGGTCAAATGGGTGGCTGCGGGCAATCTTATGTCAGGCCATAGGAGTTTGCACCATGCGACACAATCAGAAGAACCTAGTCAAAGATGCATAGACGGCGAGAATTTTGGAAGCATTCAGCAACATAAACAAGGATATCGCCCAGAAGTGATGCAGGAGACTCCAAGGTCAACTGGAGACTGTGATTGACGTCAATGGCGATTTATTGAGTACATTTACTGTTTAGTATTTGAAGATAATTTTGTAATATACCTTAAAATGAGATTTCAATATTATTTTCATATTTGCCTAATTTTGAGGACGATTTATCCATCTCAACCTATATATATATATATATATATATATATATATATATATATATATATATATATATATATATATATATATATATATATATACATATATATATATATATATATATATATATATATATATATATATATATATATATATATATATATATATATATATATATATATATATAAAATATATATTTCATTAAAAAAAATTGACAAATAACTCTCGTTGAGTATTTTATTTAATTTTTCTTGTGTTCTTATAATATTTTTTTCTGGACGTAAATTATGTAGAAGAGAAGTTGTCCAAATATTTTGTATGTCCGAGCTCTTAGAGAAACATAAAACCTTAGACAATTTCTACATAATTTCCGCCCAGAAAAGAAGAAAATTATAAGATTACAAGAAAAATTAAATAAGAAACTTCACCACAGACAGTCTATTTGTTTTAAAAAAACTAAAGTTGTATAACATGTTATCCCTTACCAAAGACACAATTACACACACACACACACACACACACACACACACACATATATATATATATATATAGTTGAGAGTAGAAAACAATATTTAAACAAGGAAAATCTCTGGGAAGCAATACAATCTGATGACAAGAGTATTTTAATATCGAAACAGTAGAATGGTAATATTTGACGTTTCTTTGTAAGGAAATATTCAGTGTTCATTTGAGCAAGCAGTTGGTTCATATTTATGAAATATTTATCTTAAAACGATTTTTCCCGAAAATAGTTTTCTCAGTCCAGTGGCTGTTATCGCTCTTTTCAGTACTGACGGGAT